CTTCTCTCTCCTCCTCCTCCTCCTCTCTCTCTCTCTCTCTCTCTCTCTCTCTCTCTCTCTCTAACGAGCTGTATTTTCAGTTCTGCGCTTTTGTTCCCGATTTATCGCGCGTTTTGTTATGCTGGAAGAAAACACGGGAACACAAACACGCGTGCGATTACCAGCGGAACGGAAGTCGACTTTTCGGCGGCGTTTCGGGCCGGATATCGCCGTTTCCGCTATCTCAGCGTTTTCATTAAAGGCCCGCACACCACGTTATCGTTCACGTTTGATCGCGCGAAACTGGACGTTGAACGCCGATTGGATCCCACCCCATTCGTTTCGACGAATCAGCCGCTCCGATTTTACCGGAGAGAGCCGTTACTTCGTTGCTTTCCACCGTTCGAATGCCGTTTTATCGCGGGAAGAGTATGGACTTTTGCTCGATTTTCGGGAAATTCCTTGGTGCACGCAAACGTGTGTAATTGTTGTTAACGTTCGAGTTGGCGAAACTTTACTTCTTCCCTTCGATAACATTTGTTATTACACTTCTAAACATCATACCGATGTTAATTTTGCTAGAAGGATTATAATTCGTATATTATAATAACGTATGTATTATTTTTAAATTTTAAAATAATATCCAAATCGATCCTTTTCTTTCTTTTTATCCAATCTGAAAAGATTAAGAATTCGAGTTGAAGCTAACGCAACAAGTTTATCGATAATATGAAAAAAGAAAAATGTTGATTTGGCTTGAATTTAAAAAAAAAAAAAAATTACACGAGAATCACTCCTCCTACCACCTTTAATCTTCCCATTACCCAAATCTACCCCCAATAATCTCGGAAAGGCCAAATTCAGAACAGCGGCAATAACCGTTCCAAGAACATCCCCCGGTAAAATAATCGTTTCGTCTCGAATCCTGCCCGATTATCGCCGCCCGAAATCCGATCTTCGAATCCCCCCCTTTCGGTGGCCGCCATTCCTCCACACCCCTTTCTCGTTTCATTAACTCCCGTCGACACCGTTAACTTCTGTTTTATTGCACGGCGAGACTTTGGAAAAGAAAAGGAGCGCATTCAAGTTGGCGCGGCTTTAAACTCCTCTCGTAGCATTTTATCCGCCACGTTCGCTCCTCGTGCCGGCGATCCTCAGGAAGTGCTCGAATAAGCTCCCCTGGAATTATTATCGAGCCAGAGGGAAAAAGTCCAGGGAAAGAAGTATATATACGAAAAGATGTGAGGAAGAACTCGTCTCCCTCCATTTTCCCCCTCTCTCTTATTTTTCCTCTTTTTATCATTCCTCTTCTTCTTCTCGTCCCGTTCTCCTTCATTTCCTCTTTTTTCCTCGTTTCGTTTCGTTTCTTTCAGAGTTTCTTGAAATCTAGCGGCACGACGACGACGACGACGACGACGATATTCCTTCGTGAACTCGTGCGAATAATTGAGACGGATTCCACATCGGTCTCTTCAACAGGCTTCAACGACGCATTAGCTCGGTTAATGGGAAATTTTTCGAGGTTGGACGAGTCGGTACAGACGCGAAATCGAAATTTCTTAGTCGAGACATCCTTGGTTGCATAATATTCCAAGTTCTTTTTTTTTTTTTTGAGGTGCTATGAATCGACGCTTTTCGATGTAATCGAAAATGATTTTGAAAGAGAAGAATTTTTTGTTCAGTTTCGATTTATAATTTAATCAAAGTATGTGTAAATAAAACTATTTGATAATATCAATAATTTGGAGGAAAAGAATATTTTTACATATACTTTTATAATAGGACGTAAAATGATCAATTTTGGGAAAAATTTATTTTAAGGATATATTAAAAGAAATATCTACAGATATTATAACTGTGACGATCACCAATTGGATAATATAGTAGTTAATAGTCATGTGGCGCTAGTGTCGCATCATAACGAGTGAAAAGAAGACACGACAGGCTTTCTAGTTATTAAGGCGAAAAATATCGTTATTATTTTACATTTAAGTGTTATTAAGCGTTTAAGACGAAGAAATTCCTTTTAAAATTCTAGATTCATTTATCTCGATAAGAAGCAGAAGGAATTTAAATAGTTCGCCTTCTGGAAATTAAACTCCATCAAAAGATTAATATTTAATTTCACGTATTTCCTTTTAAACACGATAAACGTAAGAGGAAAAAAAATCTCCTTCTTATAATTTAATCAATTTCGAAACGCGATTGAAAAAAAATTCTTGCATCTAAATTAAATTTTCGATACATTTCTTTAATGTCATAAATCATTCCGAGCTATTTTCAAGTCCAAATTAATTCTCACCCTCGTAACTTACACCTGCAGTTTGCAACCCTATTCAAAAACATCCCACAACTAACTTTCACACTCTGTCTCCAATTATAAGTCTTACAAACTATTCAAAAACACATCCAGTTTCCCAAATTTAATTGTCCTAATCATTTCTACCACTTCAAATTTCCTAATTAAAAAGAACACCATTTATGTAGATTGATATGGATTATGTACTCGATTATTATAAAAAATTGTTTTAAAAATTACCAGAACTCTTTTTAAAGATTAACAAAAAAAAATAGCACGTGGAATGTTGCTTGTTTAACAAAGTTATAATATTTTTGATACATTAGATTTATATTTATTATTTAAATATATTATAGATAAATAAGGATTAAAATACTAAGTTTTGCCAAAAGCAAAACTAGAAATATTTACGATTAATTTGTATAAGAAAACCGGTCAACTTTGATTAATCTGATTCGTTTTTAATGTTAAATATAAATTTATGATATTCACCTCGATCGGTGAATTTATCCACGGATAAATCGAAAAACCGTTCTCGAGGATGAGAAAGTAAATCAATTTTCCAGGCTCACCTCTACGATGCTGATGCAAATCATAAGATAGGGCGGTCGTATCCGGAAGTTGGGCTTCCTGGGCGGTAGTGGATGCCTGGGCGTCGGCCTAGGCGTCACCTCGTCATCCTTTGTTTTCTTGTACGACGACGAGGTGACGATGATGGGCGATTCCGGGGAATAGGGCGAGCCTGGACCCGAATACGTGGTGTCGGTGCAATCCGACGAGATCGTCGACAGTGTTGGAGAGTTCTCCAGCAGCGCTGCCTCAACGTCCATGATGGCCTGTCTGTATAAAAAGGGAAATTCGTGCCCCGATTAGAGGATTGACGATAATAAATTCTCTTCTCGAATATTAATTTTCCGGATAAATCAATATTTCTCGGCCCGAGATTATTTTGAACATGGCGTGTTTGACGTATATCGAGATAATTAAAGAGAACGGAAGAATTATCTCTGAAAATGTTTGATCGATTGTGACGATCGATTAGAGAAGAGATTTATTTTTTTAGAAGAAAAAGTTTACGAATAAATGTTTTTCTTTTTTTTTTTTACATTCGAACGTACTACAGTACAGTTTTCTCATTTCCTAATTTCATTTTAATCCAAGCTTTCTCACGTGAAATTTTACACTGCCGGAAATTTCACAACCTTTGTTTGAACATAATTCCATTTTAAATTAACTAACTCGACGAGAGGAAGGAGAAACAGATGTTGGGTGGAAAAAAAAACCTCGAATCGAGAGAGAAAAGAGAAGAGAGAAGCGCAACCAGAGTTCGCGCTAGGAAAAATGGCAACGTTTCGCTCGATCATTGTCCAATTACAGCGATAATCTCGCCGCGGAATCGATTAATCGTAATTTATGAACCGTGTTTTCTTCGCTTTAGTTTTTCACCACGATTGAGAAATATTTTTCCAGAAATTTTTCTATAAATTTGCATAAGAAGAAGAAGATTGTTTTCTCGAGAAAAATTCACTAGAAAATCACCAACTCACAAGATATATATATATTTCTAAACAAATATGCAAGAACAGTTTTACGTGATCTTCTTATACGAGATCTTCGAGATTAAGAGAATCGTAGATACAAATTGTTCAAAATAAAAATACTTCAATGAAAAATGATAAAAATATATTAATATTACAAATATTTGTAATATGTTTAATTTGTTTTATGTATTTTGTAATTTAAGAAAAAAACGATACAACAATTCGTATTAATTAAACAAACGGATAGCCAAGAAACGTTCAAATTTTCGAAATTTCCAGGCAAAAGTGGAAGGGGAGAAAGTCGAAAATAAAGTAGTGGAAATGTAATTTCCCTCTTTGAGAGGGAGGGAAAAAGGAATCGACGTGACCGGAAAAGGAATATTAATTAAACGAAGCTGAAGGGAATTGGGGGGAGTTAAACGATTAAAAAAGGAGAGGGAGAAGGCAATGGAACAGAATCCATAATTAGGGTGAATGGGTTAGCACGGTTACAAGCTTCCTAAACTCGCTTTAGCCGCACTTTATTGCTCGCCAACTGGCAGCCATTAATTTGCGTGCGGTTTTAAATATAGCTGTACTCCGCCATTTTGCTCCCCCCCCCCCCTCTTGGAAACCGTCTTCGATAAATCGACAAATTTTCGACCGAGAATCACAATTAACTCTGCGAATAAAGAAACAATATTTTATAAATATTATAACGAGAATCATCGTCGAGCAGAAGGAATAAAAAAACATCCAACCCCTCCATTTTCGAGAACCCTTCGTCGTTTCCAACCCTTACAGCCCCCCCTCGGCCATCGTTCACTCTTTAATTCAACCGCAGCTGCACGCATTCAGTCATCCCCTGCAAGTGGACAGGGGATGCAGTTGCACAGGAGTGGAGGGGAACGAAGGTGCACAGGGAAGAGACACGAGACGTTTCGCCAGGGTCGATCCTGGTGACCCCTTTGTCCGGCCACTGTTCCATGAAACCACCATAGAATTTGCCTCTGAATTATTGGGGCTCGAGTTTGCGAACGAGTACTCTCTCTCTCTCTCTCTCTCTCTTCCTCACGAAACCAAACGATTTCATCCCTATTTCCCTCTCCAGGCCACGCCATCGAATCCAATCGATCTTTGATCGCTCGGTGTCTGCGTTTCTATACGGGTTCGATCTTGTTCTTGAACCAATTGGAATAATTGAAATCTTGAACCATGGAATTTTGTGTATTATATACCAACCATTGATGTTCAAAATTTTTTTTTTTTTCGTTGCAATCGATGAATGCAGCAATATCGGTATTATTCGAGTTTCGAAGAGAATTAATAAAATTTCTTTTGTATAGAGATTCGTCGAGAAGAAGGATCATTGATCAGAGGTTAATCGAATCTCGAAAGAATTTGTGGAAACACGGAACGGAAAGATCGAAGAAGGAAAGAATTTGAATTTCATTCTATTTTTTTCTCTGCTGCAATTTCTTTTCTATTGAGATTCGTACAGAGGATCATTGATCAGAGGTTAATTGAATCTCGGGAAAGAATTTGAATTTCATTCTACTTTTTCTCCTGCAATTCGAGGACAGCGGTGTTCCAACGATTAAACGGGATCCGCAACATATTTCAATTCCTTCAATTTCTTCTTGATTACGTTCAAATCAGAATCGCCAACCATCGAGGAAGGGCGGTGGAAAACAGAGGAGAGATGAAAAAAGGAGGGAGAGCCACGCGTACCGTGAAATAACCGGGAATTAAAATTCAAGGCTACTGAATGTTAAAAAAACTCTCCCATCCGTCCAACGGCTGAACAAAATGAAAACGCCGCGCGATTAACGTGGCGAGGAGAGAGAAAAAGATAGTGGAAATAGGTGAGAGAGAAAAAGAAGGGTGGAGCGACAATGAACCGACGCGTATTTTCGTGGAATTCATTTACCTAAATGTAGAAGGATATAAACCGCAACGAGATCGTTCGTCAACGAAACGAAACGATCACTCGTTGCAATAATGAACATTAAATGGCGACGTCACGGCGAACTGCGGTTGATCCTGGCGGGAAAACGAGAAAGGAATGGACGTTGATTCGACTACGGTTGCTCTCGTAGATTTCGCGGACTGGAATATTCGTTCCCCCGCGTTGAGCTTTGCGTAGAATCGCATGGATGTCAAGTGGCCAGCTTGGAATCCCTAAAATGGGGGGGGGAATTCGATTTAAAATCCGTCCTCGATCAAAATTTCGAGACCGATGGTCTCAAATAGAACTGATAGATTTCTTACACGAAATCTTCACTCTCTAAATTCTTCAAGAAAAAAGAAGAAAAAAAGGAGGGGGGGGGGGGTAAAAATGAACGATAGAACGACAAAAAAGAGAAATGAGTTAGGAATTCGAGTCGAGCTCGTTCGATTTAAAATCCGTTCTCGATCAAAATTTCTACCAATATTCTCAAATAGAACTGCTCGCTCTTAAACTTTTCGAAACTTACTCTTTAAATTCCTCACGAAAGAAAAAAGAAAAAACAAGGTAAAAATGAAGGATAAAATGACAAATAAGGAAATAAGTTAAGAATTCGAGTCGAGCTCGTTCGATTTAAAATCCGTTCTCGATCAAAATTTCTACCAATATTCTCAAATAGAACTGCTCGCTCTTAAACTCTTCGAAACTTACTTTTTAAATTCCTCACGAAAGAAAAAGAAAAACAAGAATAAAAATGAACGATAGAACGACAAAAAAGAGAAATGAGTTAGGAATTCGAGTCGAGCTCGTTCGATTTAAAATCCGTTCTCGATCAAAATTTCTACCAATATTCTCAAATAGAATTGCTCGCTCTTACACGAAACTTTTCAAAACTTATTCTCTAAATTGCTCACGAAAAAAAAAGGAGGTAAAAATGAACGATAAAACGACAAAAAAAAGAGAAATGAGTTAGGAATTCGAGTCGAGCTCGTTCGATTTAAAATCCGTTCTCGATCAAAATTTCTACCAATATTCTCAAATAGAACTGCTCGCTCTTAAATTTTTCGAAACTTACTCTTTATAAATTCCTCACGAAAGGAGAAAGAAAACAACGCGGTAAAAATGAACGATAGAACGACAAAAAAAAGAAAAAGAAATAAGCCAGGAAGTGGAATCGTTGGGCTCGTTCAACTCGAAGGGGCGTGTAGCTGTCCGCGCGTAATTAACGTAACGGCCACGCAAATCGAACGTACACGAGGAGCGGCGGTGTAATTAAGGCCTCTCCCAGCCTGCACGAAGAACAATGCGACTCCACCCGCGTGTGTCACGCGTCAATGGCCACGACGTGGCCGATCATCGATAATCGGCCACGTCCAAGTCGATCCAACTGCTCTTCGACGCGTGACAGGGGGCGGATCCCATTGGATACAAGCGCGGCAGAAATTCTTCCTTTTCTACCCGTATGCGTTGTACCTTTGTTCTCCGTTGAACGAGGCAATGGGATTTTTTTTCGATTTCTTTTCTCCTCTTTTGTTTTTCTTCTTGGCGAGCAACGGATAACGAATATTCTTGTGATTAATTTTGTTTCGGATAATTCTTATTCTTGTTTTAATTTTACTTACGGTTTCCTCTTTTTTTTTTTTTTTTTTCTTGTAGATCTTTTCAAAGAATTCGAGAAAGGAAGAAAGAATTGTTTTCGATACCTTTCTATTGGAAAAAGATATATATGATTATCTTGATATATATATATATAATAGTTTTCCATCGATTTGCTTTTCAGAATTGACCCTCATGTAAATTTATAAATATAAATTTCACTTTCGATTTCGAATTGAAGATTGTTAAATACTAATTACACGTACGTACATATAAAATTTCAATATTTTGCAATTACGATTAACGAATAATTAACATAAATTTTCGCGGTTTACTAAAAAGACGAGGGATTAAATCGATATGGAAAAAAAAAAAAATGTAATCGAATGGGAAATTGAATGGATTTCGATCGAGTTACATTTGAAAAGAGAAAAAATTCGAATCTAAAAACTTATTCACTCACCGAAGAGAATAAGCAAAGTTGATCTATTCCTAGCGATTTAGAGTGGAGCTCTCTCGAGCGTGAGGCTTTAAACAAACAAAGAATTTTTTCGATACTTTTCTACTTTAAAGTCTGCAGACGTTAGGATTTTGGTCAGCGAACTTTAATGTAGGTGAGCAAAGGCGATGAATAATACTTTCGTGGAGCAACCACGCTGGAACAGAGTTACGGTTCAAATTTAGCAATTCATGAGGAACAGGTGAACTACTACTAGGCTCTTTCGAGAGCTCAAACATTTTACAAACCTGTCATTATCCCATGCTAATTTTCAATT